AAAATAAAAATAAAAATAATGAGACTTAAATTACAATAATGATAAAGTTAAAGTGAAAAAAATATTTATCTTTCATAAAATATAAAAAAATTCATTATTATTTTTGAGATAAATTTTAAATAAAAAAAATTTAATTATTTAAAACAAAAACAAGTGAAATTAAAAATATAATTAAAACACATGACATAATCACGGAACTTAATTAAAATATATTGAGAATATTCTTTCAAAAATGCCTTTTATCATTTGCGCTTTCTCTGTTGAGCAGACATTTTTTTTTTTTAAAACAAAGAACGGAAAATAAAAAAAATGAAAATTAAATAAAAATTGAACTCAAAGGCTATTTAGAAATAGTTTTTGAAACTTAAGAAAGACGTGTACCCCATCAAAAGGTATAAATGTGAATTTATCCCCACTTTTCGAATTAACCCTCATCACCTTTTAAAATTCAATTTCAAAGGTCATATTCCACGATTTATAATTTTATATGAACCACCAAAGTCTATCTTCTTGTCCCATAGTGGACAGACCACCCCCGTATCTACGAGTTCTTGGATGAGCATATAAGGCTTCTACAAAACGGTCTTGGAGGGGCATATAGATGATACCTGTACGAGTGACAATGACCGACATCTCCATTAAATGAAATTGAGGTTTTTTTTTTTTTTGAATTTTTTAATTTGTACCGACATTCTCATTAATTGTAATATTTAGTATTAATTTTGTAAAACAAGCAAAAAAAAATCAAGATGTCCAGATTTTTACTTTTCTGAATTTTATATAAATTTTTATATAAAATTCAAATATAATATATTATATAAAAAAATATATATAATATAATATAATATTTATATTCAAGATATGTGAAAAGTTATAAATTTGATATAAAAATTTATGTAAAATTAATTAAACATATTTTAACTAATGAATTTTAATTTATATTCTTGGGATACAATATAGACTTTTTTTGTTTTTTTTTGCTATTGACCTACTCTTAATTCTAGAATATTTAAAAGACATATATCTAGATCAAAATGTCAAACAATGATCTGGAATTGCATGTGAATTGAATTTTTGTTATACTACATGTGTATGTTGACTGTTTAGTTTTTTTTTTTTAATAAAAAATACCAGAAAACAATGGATTAAACCCAATTCAAAGAAATTTCAGGATATCCAGAAATTCATCTGCACTTTTATCAGCCACTTTAAGGCAGCAAGTGGACATATGTATTTGAGTCTTTTGACGGTGTGATCAGGGAAAGCCGCAAAAGAATGAAGTAGGACGAACGCATAATTGGTCTCACCAGACTTAAAGCAAAAATGTAGGTCAAGCACGCTAAATAATATATATATATATATATATATATTGAAAAACTTAAAGACTAAAAGATTTTAAAGGAGTTTTAGCTAATTAATAAATGGGTTTTTTTTTTTGTGTCTTTATAGTACGTATTAAAAATGTAATTAATATATTTTTTATAATTAATTTTTATTAAAATGTAAATTTTAATTTTAATTAATTAAATTCATTTATATATTATTAGTATTAAAATAAATATTAATATTTATAATTTTTTTATATAAATTAATTATAAAAAGATATATTTATTATATTTTTAATATGTATCTTAAATATATTTTTAATAAAAAAGTATTTTTTATCTTGTTAATTAATATTTAAATTTTTGAAGAAATTAATATTCATAAATTTTTTATTTCTAATATAAACAGGCTGTTTCTAACTAAAACCAAGCAAAGACTAATCCTAAAGTAGAAATAAACAGATGTTAAACAAAAAATTGAAAAGCCAAAAAATGGAAAAGTCTAACACATCCACCGTTTATAGATATTTTGGCATAAGTTCCAGGGATTAACGTCAGCAAAACAAAGAGTCAAATTAGTTATTGGTCATTTTAAGTGATCACTACATTTTTCTTTATGTCTAGAATAATATTAATCTTCCTTTCCATATAATATAAGTTTAGGATGAGTCTTTAAGTCCAGTCACCCCACTGTGTACGGAAACAAAGACTATGCCAGAAAATGATAATGGTGAAATTGGAAGATTAATTTGGAAATTTTGTCAACAATAAAGAAAATTTATAATACAAGACAAACATATATTTTCTACTTGATTGTCTTAGCGATGGCTAAGTACCAAACTTAACTTGACCTAGTCAGATTTTCTTTTAATCAACCTGGTTGTAAGCCACAAGTGCAATATTCCTAATTTTGGTTTTTCACAATTCAAAAGGGAAACCACCATGAAAATTAGAAAATAGAACAAGAGGAAAGGAGCCTTTTAGATTGATTACCTACAAACCTAAATGATACATTGAAAATATATTATGCAGTTTAATTTATGTTAAATTGTTATAATAGTAACCTTTAAATGAAAAAAGTCTCTTAAATTTAGAAATAATTCCTTAATGTAAGGATCCTCTTTAACCATATTGCAAAAAAGAGACTCAACTAACCCATATAATGCATACTTGAAGTTCAAATCTTTGGAATAGGCTTTTTAAAAAAATCTCTGGATTGAAAATGAGACTAGAGACAAAAATCATGGTCTCCTCACATGGATGCAACTAGTTTGTTGTGTGGGGCTGAAAATGAGACTATAAACCACTTATTGTTCTTCTCATGTTTCTACCCTAGGACTGTCTAGGATGTTATTTCCTCCATATTAATAATTCCATCCACATGCTCTTGGCCGTCTGTTTTGTCTTGGTTATGCCCCAAGGCCAAACAGAAATCATTATTCAACAGCCTTCTAAGATTAGCATAGTGTGAATCAGTATATTAAATTTGGATAAAGAGAAATACTAGAATTCATAAATAGATATTTAAAAATGAGTCTATAATTATGGGTCAAATACAAGTAAATATTCGTGACAAGGTACTTAGTTTTGCCAAACAGAAATCTTTCCCATGTCTAGTAATATTGCCTCAAAATGGGAATTAGAAGTTTTGTGCAGAGACTAATATACTATTTTTGTATAGCTGATTCATTCTTTGTATATGAATATTTGTAGCAGCTTGTTTTATAAAGTGCTGCCTTTGTGTATAGTGGAAGTTTTAATAATAAAATTTACATTTTTTCAAAAAAAAAAAATCTTTGGAATAGTTAATCACTACTTTGTTTTCAACCTAATTCAGTGATTAGTTTATTAACTATTAGTCTCATTTTATTTTAATTTAAAAAATTAGTTTTCTTTTTAAATAGTTCATAAACTTTGTAAAATATTTCAAAATAATTTACCTATAAAATTTTCATTAGTTTTAACAAAAAAATAATAGAAAAATTAAATCAAAATTAAAATAGAATAGTTATAACCAATAAAATAGTCCACGACAAACTTAGCAAGCTATTAAAATATGTCAATAATTGTGATTTCTACTACAAAAGATAATTGTTAAAAAGAAAAGTTGAAGCAACATATGATAATAGTTACAATTCTTTAGACAATGAAAAAGAACGTATCATCTTCACAAAATAAGTTTTATCTCAAAATTAATTTTAAAGAGTAAAAATTTAAAAAAAAAAAGAGTTGAAGATCAATTTAATCAAACAGGGTAAAACTATTGTTAGAAAATTAACAGACTAAACTAAATTGAAATAAAAATAAATGATAGTAAAAAGATATAAAAGTATGTAAAGATAATAGCTAAAATAGAAAAAAATATAAAAGTTACCAGATTATTTATTAAATTAACCTCTTTGTTTTCTCATTCTTGGTCTTGAGATAATGCACCGTAGATGGAAATGGGCTTTGATATAAAGATGTAATGGGCCAGAAGTTATTGATGTTTGGCCCAATATGGTCCGTTATGAAGTATTATGAACGGCTAATCTAAATTTCTTTAAAGAGCTCTTGTCAAAGGGCTAAAAGCCCACGGCTACTATTAGGTCTTGAAGCCCAAACCCCAAAGTATTGCAATTAGCCCAAAATATTTTGGGGGCGGGGGGTTAAAAATTGAATCAAGGAAAGCCCAAATAAAAAAGTTCATTTCCCATTTTGACCACCAAAAACAAATACTGAAAATTCCTTCGTCTCTCTCTTCGGACTATCACCGGAGATTTTACTGGCAGAAGCAGCCTCACCGAATTTTCTGTTGCGTTTGGGAAGCGAGAAAGTGAGGGAAAATGAGCGGAACGGTGAAGAAAGTTACCGATGTTGCGTTTAAAGCATCCAAAAAAATAGATTGGGAAGGCATGGCTAAGCTCTTGGTCTCTGATGAGGCTCGGAAGGAGTTCGCCAATCTCCGCCGCGCTTTCGATGAGGTTAACTCCGCTCTCCAGACCAAGTTCAGCCAGGTTCCTTTCTCACTCGCTCAATCTAGATCTTTCGTTCTGTTTTTTTTTTTTTTTTCTGAATTTTTTTTGTTTTTGGTTAGATCTTAAATTTCTATTTCAGCTTGGATTTGATGTGAATAAAGCATTGCTCTTTTGATGTAGATTTTGTGGTGCAGGTTTACATTCCTCTTTCTCTATTAATTTTCGTGAAAATTTTAAATTTTTTTCGCATTCTTGAGTTCTGCCCGTGTTCCTGGAAATCCAAAATCGAAATCTTGTTATTTACATTGTTTGATGATGAAAAATATGCAGCACCTGCTTTTTATTTAGCTGAAATGAATAGACGAATTGCTTTTCTCGTTTCATTTTCTTCTAAAATATGAGGTTTTTTTTTTTTTTTTTTTTTTGGCGTAATTATATGTGGTGCAGGAACCTGAACCCATTGACTGGGAATACTATAGAAAAGGAATTGGTTCTCGCTTGGTGGATATGTATAAACAAGCTTATGAAAGTAAGTTGGTTTGGCTTGAGGGAAACCAGCAATTTGGTTTACTCTCCATGTTACTTTTTGGTTGCCTTATGCTCTGTGGCACCTACATCAGTTGCAGTTCTTTTCATCTATACATCCTCGTTTAGCTATGTAATTTTTAGTCTGTAGGCCTTGGGTCTATTCCGGTTTTGAAAATCTGTAATTTGCGTTGACATTTTGTTTTGAGCTTTGTTTCCTGACATTGGGTGAAGGAGTTAGCCATATTTTGTTTAGCAATTTGTTTCCTCTTTCATTGCCTTTTGGTGGGACTACAGGACAAATTAATAGACGTGAAGTGAATGCCACTTTTATGAGAGTCAATTTTCAATTTATTTATTTTTTTCTGTGTGGACATCATTTATATTTCATATAGTATTTTTCTGTTTTATACTTGATTAGAGGAAGGAAAAGGGTATCACTGAAAATCAATTTTCAGTATGGAAATTATGTTATTGATCATAATAAATAACGTTCTCTATGCATGAATATTGTTCTTAATTTCTATTCTTTTCTTTTTATTTCATTTTTATTTGTGTGCTCTTTGTGAATTAATAGGATTCTGATCCCTAGTATCTGTGCCATAAACATTCTTGGACTTAAAGAAGAATGGTTCTCTATCTATATGATGTTTTGAATTTTGAGCATCTTAAGAATTTTGATCTTGAACTTGATGTCTGACTCTGGAGTCTGGTTATTGATCACAATGTAAATAATTTCTTGAAACTCAGGGCTTCAGCCATGAATTACTTTTTTATTTTTCTTTTACCATTGGGTTCACCTTTTCTTTTTCATATCTTACATATCAATCTACTTCCTGTTGCAGGCGTTGAAATCCCCAAGTTTGTTGACACAGTCACTCCTGAATACAAACCTAAATTTGATGCACTTGTAAGGACTTGTCCTCTTGCTTTTCCCTTTCTTTCCTCTCTCTCTCTCTCTCTCTCTCTCTCTCTCTCCTCTCAGATTTTTTCTGTGGCCATTTCTCCCTCTCTCTTTCTGAGATAGTTTCACTTGATATGCTTTTTCCTTATATGGGTTATAGTTGGTAGAGCTAAAAGACGCAGAGGAACAATCCTTGAAAGAGTCAGAGCGCTTGGAGAAAGAAATTGCGGATGTTCAAGAGCTAAAGGTAATTGGAAAAGAGTGAACAATGCAGTTCCCTGTCTTGTTTTGTGATTTCCTAACTATGCTTCTTTTTTTATCTCTTTTTTGGTTGAACAGAAAAAGTTGAGCACCATGACTGCCGATGAGTACTTTGAGAAACATCCTGAGCTCAAAAAGAAATTTGATGATGAGATCCGGAATGACTACTGGGGCTATTGACATATTGCCTTGATTTTTTAGCCCCCTTGCTTTTTCCTGAGTTCAAATTCTGAATTTGTAGTGTTGCTCCTGCTGTTTTTTGATAATAATTCTCAAACCCTTTATTTAACTTGGTTGATCTGGGCTGAAGAATGAGCTCCAACTTTTGTAGAGAAATCGTCTCCTGACATAAAATTTGAAAATTGAGACAATTCTTCGTTTAATGGCATCATCTTGTTAACATTTCATGTGGGAATGATTCACTTTTGAATGTTTTGATAAATAATACCTTTGCTTTACTTTTCAATGCCATCATAAAGGTCGGGAAGATGGTATGTTGGACAGCCAGAATTCATTTTTGATGCAAGACACACATTTAAAATGAAATGCTTTTCGTGCAACTGCTTCATGTTATGCTCTTCTATTTTGATTTTACATGTTATGCTTTCGTGTGGAAAGTTTACAGGGTGTCTCGTTTGGAAACTCAATGAAAATTCTATAATAATATCTAAAACCTAACGGTAGAGCCTTCAGCTTTCAGTCTGCCTTGTTCACAGATCAAGTGCAAAATAAAATGGAACTTTAATGTATGGAACTATGGATTGAAAAAGAAAATCAACTGCACATAGAATGTACACAAAATTTGAAAATTGCAATTGAAAAGATACAAAATTAAACCCCAAGAACATCTCTCTACATTGCAGAGCAAGTATGGTTCAAAAGTTGAGGTAACAGAGGGTGAAAGTTGGAAATTAAATACAATGCCTTGATGAAAATGGAGTTGCCAACAGATGAAATCCGAGGCACATTGCCGCCACAAGTTTCGGAAATAGTGCAAAACTTTCTTGTAGCATTCAGTCTCAGATTTGACCTAAATAGGGTACAGTTTTTACCATGAAAAGGTCTCCTATCTTACCCAGAATTAGCCAACTTCTTTTGAGGCAGTTGATGCCCTGTTGCTTCCTCATTCTTGACCATGGCCTTCTTTGCTAGTTCATAGCCTGCAAAATTCATGGCACCCAGAGGAGCAATCCAGAAAAACCTTGGTACTGCTCCTTTAAATAGGCCAAGAGGTCCCTCATGACGGAGTATAGAAAATACCACCATAGACATTGATATTGATCGGCCTTGTGGAGCAGTCATCATTCTAGTTTTCATCACATCAAAAGGCGTTGTAACAACTGCTCCCAGCCCTCCAGATAAAGCTCCAACTGCAATTGTTTCCCAAGGTTCTAGTTCTCGTCCCAGAAGCTGCTGGGCAAGCTACAATAACATTCAGAAGTCCACATGATTATTAATATTTTTCTGTGACAAGGATAATTAATACTTAAATATTAATTAGTATTTAACATCTCAAGTCATGGACTGAAATCGGTCCTTTGAGAATTAGTTTTCCTTCTAATGTTCATTAGCCAACAAGAAGATGGCCAAGTTTGTACCTACTAACTTCAAGACCTTAATTCGGGGGTATGCTAAACACTAACTTTCTCTATTGATCCTTTAAAAAAAATTTTTTTTTTTTAAAGCGCTCATGAAAAGTAGTAACACTTATTTCCCCACAAACAACCCTGCCATTGAATAGTAGTCTCTAGATTTGCATGTTGAAATACTAAGGCTAAGAAGGAAGTCCTTGAGTGAGAGATAAAAAGACTACCACTGTTCAGATGGATGTATTTACCTTTTTAGATTCAGCATAAAGACCCATTCCAGCAACATAAAAGGGCACCTCACGGCAAAGTGTGGCCTCAGTGCCACGGAAAAAACCCTTCAAACCATCTTGATGCCAGGTACCAACAATAGCTTCGCCGACATTATCAAAAAGGCCAGCTTGCAATCGCTGTTTTAGTACTTCACATGGAATCCGCACTGCTGTCCCCAAAAAGGTACTACAGAATGATGCCATGGATTGAACCTACATAACATGCCAATGCACTTCTCAGTACTTCAAGTCAATATTAGCAAATAGGAAGCTCAAATAGCATATGACCAAAACATGCTAAAGTTGTAATCATATTGATGATGCATCAATGGTTGCAAAAGAATTGTTCAATCTCTAAGACTATAACTAAAGTCATGAGAAAGAACAATCCTCTCAGCAAAACTAAACAGCACAAAATCACATACAATCACAGTTGCAAGAGAGGCTTGTATGACATGTAATTCATTCCTCACAAATAGTAAAATAACTAGAGAAATCTAAAATTGTAGGCTTTAAAGATAAGCATGAAATCCCATTTAAAAGGTAATTTGATAGCACAGCTACAGAAGCTATCTTTACAGGATCAATTTGTAGTTCTCTTAATGAAAGCACACCCAAGACTGGCCTAAATATGAAAGTAAACTCTAGATACCTGCTTATACTAGAATAAGAAGCCCAAGAAGGAATATTGGTGAAGAGATCTCATGTTTGATGTTTGAACAGGTAGATAATGAAGATCGATTTTAATGAAGGCGGTAATTTTTCTAGGACTCAAAAAGAACCAGAAGAAAACAGAAATAAAGTTGAACTTCTCATGCTTGCATGGAAGCTAGACCCAATCCAGGAATATAGACGTATGTTGCCAATCCTCAAATTAAGAACACTGGACTGCAAGATGCTAACAAAAATTTTCCCCCATAAGGCATAAACAACTACATTAACAGCATGGTTGAGGCAAAAGAATAAGAACTTTGAAGCATAAGATGTGAATCAGAACCTCACAGTACAAATGAATGTTACCTGAATGTCAGGGAGTGTTGGAGCAACATTTATCAATACAAGCTTACTTGCTTCAAATATTCCCGTTCTCAGTCCATGACTATATTGTGAAAATCAACTTGTAAGACAAACATGCCACCAAAAGAAAAGGCATAATGAAAGGAAAGAAAAGAAAAGAAAAAGGAAATAAAACCTTGAGAACTGCCCAAGAATTGCAGGAACAGAACCCCTATACAGACCACGGACTCCTATTTGTGGAAGCTTTGAGATAATCTCTGGAAAGGTCAATGTTGATGCTTGCACTCGAGTCTGATAAATCACAAAGAGGAAAGAAAAACACCATGAGAAGGGCTTAAAGACAAACACCAAAGATAAAAGACTAAAAGTGGGAGCATTGACAATCATAGCAAACTTATATATGGAAGAGTATGCATCTGATATACTCTATTGCTTCCCGTTAGCCATAAGCTGCTAATTTTTTGCATTTTGCAGGGAGAAGCACCAAACACATACAATCATTATGTTTTCTTTACATCAAAGTTTATCGTTATTGTTGTTTTTGTCACTGAGGGGAAGGTTTATTGTTACTGCCAAGAAGTTTCCTAACCAAAGATGAGAGGACAGGATTTGAGCATCACTATCTGATCATTATGATAAATATCAAATAGAAGGAGCCATAAGGCTATTCTAACCAAAAATTGTGAATCAGTCCAAAAGGTTATATATTATGCATAATCTGCCAAAAGCCTATATCAGAAAAGTGCAACAAACCATGCTAACAAGCACAAAGACATTATTTTCCAGCAAATGTCACAAAGCCTATTTCATAAAAAGCCCAATAGACAATGCATGATATATCACAAAGGCAAGGTTCTGTGTGCTCTTCATGGCCCATTGTCAAGTAAATATTAATATGACAAGTGCAAAGTGAGCAATGATGTGATGAATGTAGGTTCCAACCACAGGAATATTACTTATTTGAAAATGGTATGGTATTAAAAGGCATATAATTATTAAGCAGAAGAATTTGCCTTAATAGTATCAATAGGATGCATTAAAGAAGTAGAAAGTGCACATGAAAGGCCTCCGGCCAATGCAGATCTAAGAACACTTCCGGCAGGAATTTCCACTGGTGGTGCAACAGCCACAACAGTTGCAGCTTCAAACCAGATATTCCTGTATGTAGTACATAAAGAAATCAGGATCAATTACTTGTTCCCTACCAATTTGTGCAGCATGCTAGTGTATAATTCATGTATCTCTATAAAATATTAGTCCTTCCAAACGAAATTTGGGGGCTGGGGGTTGAACTTTTGGAGTTGACTGCCAAGTACCTTTTTTACAAATGCTTGCTATTGCAATTTTCTACCCTTCACAAAACTTTTGACAATGTTCAACAAAACCTATTCACAGAATTTGTTTACAATTTAATTTCTGCAACAGGTTCTGGTCAACCTTGGCAAACAATCTTACCTAGGATCATCTTGTAGTCGTTCAGAGGGCAACATAAGCATGAAATTACGAAAATGCCCATATGAAATGGATTCTTCAGTGTCTGCATTCAAGAACCGCATCATAGCAACAGCATTTTCTTCGTTTGCAGGAAGCCCTGCATTTTTAAGTGATGCCAATATTTCACTCTTTTGAAGTGTCCCAGACTTGCTTAAACAGAGAGAAGTATAAGCTCGAAGAATGGTTGGCTCCTTCTGCTCCATCAAAGACAAAAACTGTTTCCAACCAAATGATTTTGAAAATATATGGCTCCTGGTACGGCCCATAAATTCCCGAGCATATCTCCGAGGCAAATTTCTTTTTCTCATAGCAACTTCAAGATCTTCCAATGTTACTTGGCCATCACCATCTCTATCCAGTTCTTCAAAGAACCTCCTTCCTGTAAGAATGATGGTTAAAAGGCTTATTATAGTGATGCAACACTATGGCTTACCTAGATGCATGGAAACCATACCTTCTGATTCTGTGTATCTAAAGAAATCTTGGACAGAAAATAACTTCTTCTTGTCTGGAGGGTCCTTAGAGGATCGCCCCACTTGTGGTAGAAGCTCAATCAGTTCTGTTAACGACACAGTGGATAAGGAAGATTTCAAACGCTCCACATTTGACAGTGGAATGCTAAGTATCCCACTGGCCAGCTTCTGCGGTGAACTACCCCCAGTTTCTTCTCTACTACCAGTGCCGACACCAGCATCACTGTCTTCATCAACTGAAGAAGTAACTCCAACTACTCTTGAAGGCACACCTCCCACCCTAGCAAAATTCAGGTTTCCCAAAAACCCATTAACATCAGCCTTTCGACCCTTAAAAATACTCATAACTGCCCTCAAATGATCAAATTGAAAGCAAGGATGTGGTGTTGGTGAGCAAGAGCAACTACACTGATTCTCATGATTCTCCAGGACAAGTTGATCAAATTTTTGAAGATTTTGAGTCAAGTGATCAAATATAAACCCTATAAGACATTCAAGTGATATATGTTTCCCTTCTTTATGTTCTGAACAATCACTATTGGACCCATTAGAAAATTGAGACCTCAATTCCCCTTGCTTAAGCTCATTTCTAACCTCCGAGTTCAACCCATGAGTAGACAAATTTGAGTACTTTTCATCCTCATATCCCACTTTATGAACTCTCTTGTTCCTGGACTTAAATGGACTTGCAAAAGCCTGGACAAAACCATCAACCAACAATGACCAAGTGACTGCAAACTGTAAGCACTTAATGCAGGATCCCTCTTCTGTAGCCACATCCCTCTCTTTCAAGCCTTTCTTCACCACCTCAACCTTGTCACCATTTTCTATATTTGGCGAGAACATTCCCATGACAGCCTCAATTGGAACCTTAATGGACAACCCTTTCTTTTTCTCATCACTACTCACACACTGCACATTATTAATACTGTTAGCACCGTTACTGCCCTCCTTCCTTACACCACAGAACCGTACTTTACAATTCTTATCACCACCATTCAAATGGGAAATGAAATCAAGATGATTTCCTTTCTTATTTGAGCCTCCCCAACAACTTTCAAGATCTTTTGCAGCTTTCTTCATGCCTGACTCTAGTGGAGAAAAAGCATCTTTTACCACTTGAAAGGAATTGAAAATCGACTCAATTGGATCATTAACAGACACCATTATGCGATTAACTACTCCAAAGTTGCTCACTTCTACATATATTCCTATCTATATCACTATCTCAACACCAATTCACGACAGGAAAAACCAAAAACATGATAAATGCAAAATCAACAAAAGCACAAACTACAGACCGAAAAAATCAAAGCTTTTGAATCACTAGAGTTACAGAGAGTGAAGTGAACCATATACTGGAGATCCGCTGAGAAACCAGTGCCGCTGAAAGGAACCCAAGACCGGAAATTCTTACTCTTACAGACATAGAATCAAATGGATACTGATTTTTCATCGACCAAAAAAATCAATTCATTCTGTTTCACAAAAACAAGATTGAAAATGGCAGTTTTTCTGTACATTTTAAGGATTATCAGCTTCCCAGGATACAGAAAGAGAAGTTGAGTTGGAGAATTTTAGATAAGAAACCAAAAATTTTGGGGTTCACTTCGATTATGAAGAAAATCCAAATTTAGAGAGATTTTGAAGCTTGGACAGTTTCGAGACCAAGAGATACGGTGGCAGGAGAAGAGGAAAACCG